TCCTTCCGTCCCCAGGGCAGGGACTGCGAGGTGGCGTTGGATGGCTGCTCTCAAAACCCCTGTGCCAACGGGGGCACCTGCCAGCCCCAGGATGGGGACAGGGACAGTTTCAGGTCAGCAGTTTGTGAAGACCCATGGAATCTGGGCATTGGGATGGCAGCATCTCATGGGGATTTGGGGTCTTCTTCGCCTGGGACATCCACCCGTGCCCTCACCACTGGTGGCCCTGAGAGCCAGCACAGGTTGCAGCCATGCTCCCATGCAACCCTGCCTACCCTGAACATTTCAGGCATTTCTGGGAAGTGGGGTGCAATTAGCAACTGGAAATAATGGTGGGGCTGCGGGTGGAGGAGGGCTGCGCATCCTTCTGCACTAAATGGCCTCTCTCAGCCCGTTGTCTTGGCAACTGAGCGTCCTCAGCATCTTCCACCAGCCCTGGGCTCTCGGGTAGGGGCACATGGGGCTGTGCTCCTCAGCACTCTGTTGGGAGCAGGCTCTACCATGATCCTCTGCCAGTGTTTTGGGGAGATCACCCCAACACGGTGTTTCCTACCCTGGAGCAGATGCCTGTGTGCAGCAGGCTTCGAGGGCCCGAACTGCCGCACCGCCAGTGACCCCTGCAAGGAGCACAGTTGTGAGAATGGGGGCTCCTGTGTGTCTGGTGCCACCAACTACACCTGCCTGTGCCCTGCTTACTACACAGGTACATGGAGCAAGGGTACTGCCATCCCACTGTGGGATGTGCCCTGATAGGTACCATCTGGCACCCCTTCTTCTGCCCCACAGGGGATTTCTGTGAGCAGCCACCAGATTTCTGCTCGGCCGAGCTCAGCCCATGCCAGCACGACTCCACCTGCATCCCCACCAGCCAGGGGCCCAGGTGAGCCCCAGCCCTTGGGTTTTGCTTTCAGGGGGCTGAAGGCAGCTGGGAAGCACTGGGGAAGGCACAGTGGGGTCTGTAACCCCCCCCCCCCCATGCTCTCCCAGGTGTGAGTGCGCACCCGGCTATGTGGGGACCAACTGCAGTGAGGACTTCGATGATTGCCAGGACCACCGGTGCCAGAACAACGCTCGCTGTGTGGATGAGGTGAATGGCTACTCCTGCCTCTGCGCCGAGGGTTACAGGTACTGCCGGGGGGGCTAACGGGCCGGTCAGATGTTATCCTGCAGGAGGTGGTCCTGGCCACCACATCCCCCATTGTGGACCCCAGAAGGGACCTGCAGGGTTCAGCATCCATGCTTCCATCTGCTGCTGCTGCTGGTGGGGACCCCAAAGTGGGTGGGTGCTGTGGGTGGTGGGGAGGGGGCTGCCCCGGCCCCATGCCCAGCACGCCCTTGGTCCCACAGTGGACAGCTGTGCGAGATGCCGCCCCATGCCACCGGGCAGCCCGGGCTCTGTGAGCGTGCCGAGTGCCAGAACGGGGCAGCCTGTGTGGAGCGGGGCTCCCGTGCCCTCTGCCAGTGCCTGCCTGGCTTCGGCGGCCCCAAGTGTGAGAAGCTGCTGAGCGTCAACTTTGTGGACCGTGACACGTACCTGCAGTTCACTGACCTGCAGGACTGGCCCCGGGCCAACATCACTCTGCAGGTGAGGACGCAGGGCGACGCAGGGTGATGGGGAGTGGCTGCCAGGTGTGGAGTCTCATCTCTCCCACCCCCAGGTCTCCACGGCTGAGGACAACGGCATCCTGCTGTACAACGGTGACAGCGATCACATGGCTGTAGAGCTGTACCAGGGCCATGTCAGGGTTAGTTATGACCCTGGCACTCACCCCAGCTCAGCCATATACAGGTACCATGGGCCCCCACGCCCCGTGTCCTAACCCCATTGCATGGGCATGGCGATTTGATGGGGGATGGAGCGCACCCGGTGACACAGCCCTCCCCGCCAGTGCCGAGACCATCAATGATGGGCAGTTCCACACCGTGGAGCTGGTGACCTTCGACCAGATGGTGAACCTCTCCATCGATGGCGGCAGCCCCATGACTATGGACAACTCTGGCAAGCACTACACGCTGAACAGCGAGGCCCCGCTCTATGTCGGGGGTATGGGGCTGGCAGGGCACTGGGGTCATGGGGTCGGCTGGGTGTGTGCTGATGGCCCCGCTCTCCCCAGGGATGCCCGTGGACGTCAACTCAGCCGCCTTCCGCCTCTGGCAGCTCCTCAACGGCACCAGCTTCCATGGCTGCATCCGCAACCTCTACATCAACAACGAGTTGCAGGACTTCACCAAGACGCGGATGACGCCCGGTGTGGTGCCGGGCTGTGAGCCCTGCCGCAAGCTGTACTGCCTGCATGGCATCTGCCAACCCACTGGCGCCCAGGGACCCGTCTGCCATTGCGAGCCTGGCTGGGATGGACCCCACTGTGACCAACCCCGCGGCGGCCCCTGCCAGGGGCACAAGTGAGTGCCCCCTCCCCTCCCTGTCTGCTGCCCGATAGCAAGGGCTGTGCCCATCGCAGTGGCTCTGTCCCTTTTGGTGCCCCATAGCAGATCACCTGCCCCATTCACAGCTGACCATGACTTCGGATTTTGAGGTCTTTTGCAACCTTAGTGGTTCTATGAATCTGTGGCTCATTGCTATACTGTGCCGTACTGGTGCCACACTGTGCCAGAGCCACATCATTGCTGCACTGCAATAACTCTGCCCGACCCAAGCTGTGCTGCGCCTACCTATGTCATGGTGTGCTGTGCCATACCCGTGTCATGCCCTACCTATGTCATGCCTTAGCCACGCTGTGCCTGACCTACGTGTGTCATGCCATACCAGCTGGTGCTGGTACACCATGGTGCAGGCACTGCTGTGCCATGTGTCAGACACCTGATGGCCGTGGCTGCCCACAGGTGTGTGCACGGGCTCTGCCTGCCCCTCGACGCCCTCTCCTACAGCTGCCAGTGCCACCAGGGCTACCAGGGTGCCCTGTGCAACCAGCCCAGCACACCGCCCGACCCCTGCCGTCTCCTGCCCTGCCGCCACGGCCGCTGCCGCCTCACCCCGGGTGGCCAGCCCGTATGCGAGTGTCACAGCGGCTACAGTGGGGCCCTCTGCGACCAAGGTAGGCAGCAGGGCGGTGGGTTCGGGGCAGCAGCACCGGGAGGACTGCACTCTGATCCTCGCTGCCCCACAGAGCCCGAGTGCCGCGGGGAGCCGGTGCGGGACTACCACCAGGTGCAGAGGGGCTACGCCATCTGCCAGACCACGCGGCCGGTGCCCTACGTGCAGTGCCGGGGAACGTGCGGCGGTGACACCGACACCGGCTGCTGCATCGGGCTGCGGCCGCGGCGCAGGAAATACGCCTTCGAGTGCAGCAACGGCGCGACCTTCATAGAGGAGGTGGAGAAGCCCAGCAAGTGTGGCTGCAGTCCATGCCTCTGAGCGCCGGGGTGCGGGGGCTGCTGCGGACAGCGGGGGTCAGTGAGGAGCCCCCGGCACCAAGAGCTCGCTCTGCCCTGCACCTAGGGGCCGGGATGTTACCAAAGCCCAGCGCAGTTCCCACCACTCGGAGGAGCCCATCGGGGCTGGAGGAGGATAGATGTGTTGCATCTAGAGGGTTGGAAAACAAAAAAGGAAAAAAAAAAAAAAAAAAGGGAAAAAAAACCCACAAAACAAGTGTGTAGATAGAGGATTTTTTTAAGAACTTGCAGCTACACAAGTGTGTCTCATGTGGGAGCTGCTCTGCCCCTCCGCCTGTTCTCCCTTCATCTCTGCCTTCTTCATCGCTGAGGGAAACGTGTGCCCTCTCTGTGTGTCCCCCAGGCAGCCCCACATCCAGCTGGGATCTTCCCAACACCCTGTGCTGGACCTGGCACTGCAGTGCTTTGTGTGCCACGGCTGCCAGGAGGGCTGAGCTCCATGCTGGCACCCCTGGTTCCCAGCACTTCTAAGTCCACCTTCCCAAATGGCCCTGGCCCCGCTGCAACAGCCCCTGCACCCAGTATGGTGCCAGCTCAGCAGCACTGTGGACAAGTTGGGTCAAGCAGGATGGAGCCAGGAGCAGCCTCACCGTGCAGTGCCAGCCCTGCCCTGCGCACAGAGATGGGGTCCCTCTCCCTGCTGGGCTGTGTGCAGAGTGTGGTTGTGCTGGAACCACCCAGACGATGTCCCTTAGATGGCCACTGGGGCACAGGTTTGTGATGTTGTCAGCCCTGTGGATGCTGGGACAGCTGAAGGTGGAGATCCTGGAGGCAACACAGCATCCAGCACAAGTCCCAACAGGTCCAAGCTGTTGGGTTGCAGCCCCGCCACACCGCAGTGCCAGGGGACATGCTGGCAGGGCAGCAGGGGCACCACACCGCGTGCCAGCCATTGGCATCCCAGGACCGAGGGTGACGGGCCAACCTGGGGCAAATTGCCATGTCACCCCCAGGGCTGTGGCCGCAGCTCTCCCCATCACATCACACCAGCGCTTCACCGCATCCCGCTGGGTGCAGCTGGCTGATGGGTGCCATCGCTGTCCCCACGCACCCAGGACATGCCACCGCCACAGGGACATCTCTGCCACCAGCACCCTGTGCTGCACGGCACGGCGGGATGCTCTCATTCAGCCCCTGGCTGGGGCTCGGTTGTGTTGTGTTTCTGTTCTTGCTGTAAGCTAACCGCTAAAGTATCTCTTTATACAGAATACTTACAGATTCTAATATATATTTGTATTTCATTTTGTTATAGTATTTTTCTATGTTCGGGGTCAACAAACGCTGTTTTCTTTTTGTTTACAGATGCTACTGGGCAGGAACATGACGGTGGCTTTGTCTGGCCCGCGCGGTGTGTGTGTGTGTCACTGTTGCAGCCGCCGGTTTGCGCTGGGCTGGGGAGGGCACCCTCCACCGGCAGAGGCTGTGTTGTTTTAGGAGATGTTCGGTATTGTCTATGTTGTCCTCCACGTGAACATGACATTGATTCATTCAGAGGCCCGGCATCGTCTTTATGGGGACGTGCGGAGGGAGCACAGGGTGGGGATGGCGTGGGCAATGGGGGGACCCAGAGCTGCTGGGGGGAGGTTGTGCCCCATGGCTGTGGCCCACGTGTGCCATCCACGCCCCCACCATCCCCCAATTTATCACAGCAAAGCGGCTCTGATATCAAAGAAACGTTTAATAAGCTGCAATAAAATACGGACCTTTAGAAAGCTCATCATTGGGTGAATATCAACAACAGAGAGAGAAAAGAAAACAAGGCGGTGGGAGTCCGTGAGGAACTCAGATCTGAGTCAGGGAGCTTTACCTGGAACAAGAACACAGCTTCCTCGAGAGTCTAAACGACAGGAGCACAGAGTTCACAAAATGTCAACACTGAGAGAGTCGATACACAGCCAAAGTTCAAATGACCCAGCTCTTATAGCTATACATATCGATTTAAAGCAACTTAATATAACTTTATTTCATTTTTTATATACATGTTCAAAGGTTCGTCAGGTGAGGTATGTAAACATCATCTAATGGAAACCCCTCTGCACCTTTCCGACCGAGGATTCACAGCAGACGTTTTGCTTTCCCCCAGCACGGAGCCGAGCGAGCGGCCGTGCTCCCTGCACACCATTCTGACATTTCACATTGGTCAGGCTCTGACATACAGTACCGGACAGGAGGGCTGTTCGGATCAGTGTCTAAAGTTCATCCTAGAGAAACGAACAGAGCGACAAAACTCCTTCCAGGGAAGTGGACACATTTGCTACTGGGGCGGAACTAGGATTCAAACGTTGAGCATCTTGGAAAGAACAAAAAGAAACATATTGGGTTGGTTGGGTTGGTGCTTTTCTTTCTTTTTTTTTTTTCCTTTCTTTTTCCACACTACAGTTCCAAAAATGAAGGGCTCTCGTGAGCCCCTCTGTCTCACTCCCATCCCATGCTCTGAAATGAGGGACCCGTCACTGAACAGCAGGGCTAACCCCATTATGGGATGGGTACAGCAAAACGGGGTTAAAAACAGCCAGAAAAAAGCCACACACACGTAGGAAAAACACACACAAACAGGCAACCGACCTCAAACCCTCCAATAAACATGGCAGAAGGGCAAGCAAAGAGGCAATGACCTTATGGGGCCAGCTTGGCTGCGGACAGCTGCCCTTCTGCCCTGCTCTGCGGGCACCTTGGGGTCAGAGCAGCCGCTTGGAACAGCCCTGGGGCAGCTCCTCCAGACCCGCACCCCACAGTGGGCTGAGCCCCCGTCACCCAAGACATTATTACTAAAATCTTATTGCTGGCAGTGCCCCCACCATGGAGACCCCCACCCCTCCCTCCCAGCTCCCGCTCACCCTCTGACATCATCAGAAATGAGATGAAGAGTTAATGCTTGGACACCGATGGGACGGGACCCTGTCCCCCTGCGCCATCAGGCAGCCACAGTGACCGCCAGTCGGAACAAGAACCTACAGAAAGCCCACAAAATAAATATAAAAAACCCGACTATTTACAATATTAAATCCGTGAGAATTGAGAGAGAGAGAAAAAAAATGTCTTTACCTGCCCCAAAAGCTTAAAAAGTAGGTTAGCATCCTGCCGCCTAGCACAACACTATCTTACATGGCACCTACACATAATATATATTCACATTTCATTTTAAAATTAGGTACTCTTACAAACAGACTTAGAAAACATTGGCTAGCGAGGTGGCCTGGCGGGCCAGGTGACACCACAATGGCCACCACGGTGCCCTCTGTGGCCATCCCACAGCTGCCAACGTGCCCTGAATCAAACGCCAGCTGCCCGCGGCCCGGTGGAAGTGCTCTCAAACCAGGGGGGTCGGGGGGGGGGGGGGGGGGAGAAACCGTGATTCCGCTAAGCCTAGGGGTGATCTTAATACAAACTCCTGAGAACATCTTAGAACAGATGGATTCATTTCACAACCACCAAGCGAAGGGATGGGCGGAACGGACGCTATGATACGCGGAGCAGGGAGTGGGGGTGGAGGTAAACTCCGAGAGTAGGATGAGAAGTCAGCCAACAAGGAAAGCTGAAGGGGTGGCGGTGGCAGCAGCAGCCGGCACTGCTGTGATCGGGGAGCACTGGGGGCACAGCACTGGGGCTGGAGGGAGGACATCAGGGAGTAAGTGGGAATGGAGCAACGCAACACTGCCTGGAAGAGAGGGAGAAGAAAATCAAATTTGGGCACTGATGAAGAAATGGTGGCGATGCCACCCTGCCACGTGGCCACCTCATATGCAGATCCCTTCATTTGCTAGCAAACTAAAACATCCCTCCATCCTTTCCCAAAACACAGCACTCACAAGCACAAAGCACATGGTAAAAGCACGTCTCATCAGCTGCAAGACCCGGGAGCTACAACTGGTGTCAGCATGAGAACACGCACAGGAGATGAGGAGGAGATGGCACCTCCTGAGAGGCAGCACAGAGCTGGAGATGCCTCCCAGCAGGAAGCCGCCCTGTTTTTCTGGAGATGAGAGCACTCCTGGCCAACCTACGATGCAGAGAACTCGCATAGAGCACCGCTGTGCCCACCCTGACCTGGGCAGGGCCATGCCCAAGTGCTGGCTGCAGTCACTTGGCCACAGGTGGTGGTCGCACTCTATCCATCAAAGACAAAGCCCCTCCTGAAGACCAAAGCTGTCACTGTTAAATAAAACAGAAGAGCACTCTGCTGCCTCGCCAGGCACCCCATCACCCGGCCTGCCCTCAGCTTTCAGCCTGACAACTCACATTCCTCCCATGCCACGGGATGCCCAGCATCCCATTCGACATGTGCTAAGGCTGCAGCACAGCTCTGGGGAGCAACATCACGAGCTGCCATCCCAACATGGGGCAGCAAGGGACAGCCCCCAGAATTCAAAGAGAAATTAAATGCAGAATGTGGGGAGGGGGTCCTGCATTTCTAATCCAGACCAAGGGAAGGGAAAGGCAGAGAGACCTGTGGGGAAGGCACAGAGCAGTGCTATGGCTGCCACCAGCGCCTCTCCTGAAATGCTTTTAAATCTTTCCTGATGGAATGTTTGACATCTTTAATACATGCAGTAAAAATTAAAGTCATAGATAACTCCGTATTAATCTGTACAGGGTCTGACAGGCTAGATTTAATCACTTTGTTGCTGCTTAAAGAGCTCACTTTTGCATGATTTAAAGGGGAGGGAAAGTTTTCAAACCAAAGCCTTGCTGCTTCCTGCACGGGACGCTTACACTGGGATTCCTGCAAGCAGCAAGGTGCGTGTTTGTATACAAAAGTGAATGCAAACTATAGGGAAAATCAGCTGCAGCCGTGCAAAGGAACAGGGGTAGGGGCAGAGCTGCAGGGTGACATCCATGTGTGGGTACCTGGAGAGCCACCGGCAGCTGCAGGAGAACCAACACGTGTCCCATCCACCTTCGTCTCCCTCACCGATGGCAAAGGGGTTTGGGTTTGCTTGAAATGCCACTCACAGACAGACAGAAGGGCGCTGAAGGGAAGGGAAATGCTGGCGTGCACCAAAAGGCTGCCGAAAGCTACTTCATGTGCACAAAGGTGGTTTTCTTTCTGCTACAGTACAAGTGCTTGTGCCTCAAGTATAAAACGCAAGCCTCCAAATCACACAGACGAGCTTCTTAATTTTATTTTTAAAGTGATAAATAAGGCACTGTACTTTTAACTAAAACTGCCTGGTTCTGAGTTCAAAAGCCCCAGGACCATCGGAACTGCAAACACTTCCTTCGGAACAGCAGAGCCAGACAGGCTGACCTCTTCTCCGCCTCAGACACAGCTTCCGATGCCTAACATCACGGGCATGATCCTGTAACTGCGGATTTTAAAGGCTTGCTACAGCTTATAAAAGCAGCTTTAGTTAATGCATGGTAAGGGTTACTACTATACAAGAGTTCTGTACATGGCTACCGCTGCACTGCTACTTGGCATCCAGCCGCGAGCGCTTGCTGTGCGAGCAGTCTCCCTTCGCCCGCAGCTTCCTCTTGCCCTGCGAACTGCTGCCTTCCTGCCCCTTCCTCACAGCCCTGGGAAGGGCCTTCCCCCCGCCCGCCTTCTTGTTGGCCATCTTCTGTGCCCGCGTCGAGGACTCGCCCAGCGGTCTGTGCCGCGGGGATGGGCCCAGCTCCTCGTGGCCGGGCGGCGGCGCGGCACGGCGGCTGGTGTTCTCCTTGCCCTTCCGCACCGGCAGCCGCACCTTCTCCAGTTGCCTTTTTGGGACTCTCTTCTCTTTTGAAGACATCTTCTTGGCCAGCTTGCTGCTCCTCTCCACCTGCTTGCGGGTGGCGGGGGCCTTGGTGCCCACCTCTGAGTGTTTTATTTTTCCAGCCTTCTTGGCCGGCACCTTGTCCTTCCCCGAGGAGCCAGCCCGCTCCTGCGTGGCCTCACTCTCCTTCAGAGTCCTCTTCTTCCTGCTGAGCTGCTCAGCCCGGGGCGAGGGCTCCTCCTGGCCTTTACTCTTCCCTTTCCGCCCTTTCCCCACTCCATCTGCTGAAGGTGATTTAGTGGGGAAGGCATCTGCCTTGATCTGCAGGGCCAGCTTGGGGGACATGAGCGGGTTGATGCACAGGCTCTTGCGGCTGGTCTTGCCCTCGGGGCCCGGTTGCTCGCCAGGCACGTCGCCACGCCGGTCGGCGCGGGTGGCACGGTGCTGGGCCCGCAGCTTGCCCCTCAGCTGGGAGTACTTGCGCAGGATGCGGGTGCTGGCCTGGGTGGGCAGGCTGGGGGTGGGCTGTGCGCCCCGCTCCTGGCTCAGCTCCTCGGGGCTGGCTTCAGGCGGAGGAGGCTGGCCGGCCACCTTGCCCTCCTCAGCCTCAGCTTTGTCGGCATTCTCGCGGATCTTGGCCCACAGCTTTTGGTTTTTCAGGTTGTTGCGGGCCGGCGTGGTGGCGGCAAATTTCTTCAGGTGTTTTTTCAAGCGCTCAGCCTGCAGTGAGCTGGGGTAGAGGCCAGAGGAGGAGTACTTCTGCATGGGAACCTTGATGGGGGGGATCTCCCCCGGGAGACGCGTGTTGAGTTTCTTCACGATCACCAGCGAGCGGGTCTCGGTGGTCTCCAGGAACCACTGGCAGATGTCAGACAGCTTGTAGGCCTTCATGAACAGCATCTGGACAGGAGACAGCTTCTGAACCTCCAGCGCCCCTCTGCTTTTCCGCGTCCTTTTCTTGCTTTTCCAGATCTCCTTCAGCTTGTCGGCTTTGTTCTTCACCTTGGGGGCTGGCTGCACCTCCTTCTCCAGCTGGATCCAGCCCTTCTGCACCTTCATGTACTGGGCGTTGAACTCGGCAATCAGCTCCTGGTTCTCCTCCTCAGCGCACCACTCCATGAACCTCGGCTTGCTGTCTTCTGCATCCATATCCTCCAGCGCCAGGGCATCATCATTCCCTGAACTGCACTCGTCCCTGGCTTTAGGGACAGCCTGCATAGACTCCTTCCCTGGCAAGCTCTTTTTTGCAGTGTCAGCTGTTGCAGGTGTGTGTCTTAAGTTGTAAAACTGCAGGGTGACCTTTTTGTGCTTGGCAGCCTTCGCTGGGAGATGCTTGCTTCCTCCACCTCTGCTGGTGGGACACGGAGATTGGCTGCTCACCGGCTCATAGTGCTCCAGCTTCCCCGTGTCTATGGTACTGTCAGAGCTCTCCTCTTTTGCACAAGCATCGCCCAGCTTCACCTCTGCTTGCACACTGCCTGCAGGCACACTGCTTTCTGCTGGGAGGAGGATGCTTTTCTTCTCAGCATCAGTCTGCACACAGATGTCCAGCATCTCACCTGGTTGACTGTGGCCACCTGTAGCAGCAGGGTTGTCTTTATGGGAATTTTCTCCCTCGGATGCAGTTTCTTTTGCTAAGATGCTTTTATAGGTCTGCCTGGTGGTGACACCGTTCTCCTCAGCAATGCTTTCTGGAGCCTGCCTGGTGCTTAGCCCCTCATTGTGCTGGAGCAGTGCACTATGGAAGCAGTCATTCGGGAAGTTTGCGGGTGTTGTCCCATCCAGGTTCCCTTCTCTCTTGAACCGCTTAGCACCAGGACTCTTGGAGGCTTTGATCTGAAGGCCAGGAAAATGCACAGGGCTGGAAGAACCAGTGTCCTCAGTGCTGACCTCAGTGGGTGGTTGAGACTGCTGGCTTCGGAGACGCCGGTCAGATGCCACAAGTGTTCTCCTTCCTTTCTTTCGCTTCTTGTCTAGGCTGTCTTTGGAAGAGATGGAGTCTTTCTCTGCTGTTTCCAAGCCATCGGATTCGGGCAGTGTTTCCTCTTCAGCAGGCTCCTTTTCACCTGCCAGGCTGTTGTTCTGCTCTGCCTCGCCTTCCAAGTCCACAGGGAGAGCTATGCTGGCTGGTGCAGCCTCCTCTTGCTCAAGGGAGGTGTCACCTGGTACAACTGATAGTTCAGCATCTGGTATAGTATCAGTGCTTTTGTTCACCTCCACGCTCTGCAAGGTGGCAGAGGGCTCTGGTGGACAATTCCTGCCGTCAGTGGCAGGGGGCTGCTCAGGAGCCTGCAGCTCTGGAGAGTGTGGAGAAAGTTCTGCGGGATGCACACCACAGGGCTCTGTGCTGCTGGCACCTGGGAGCACTGCATGGTCCCTGGTGTCAGCCTCAGGTGTTGCATCCAAAGCAGGGCAGAGCTGCACGGGGGACCCTGGCTCTGGGCTGGCGGGAAGGTCTGGAGTAGTTTGCACACCCACATCTGGGGAACCTTTCTCCCCGATGGCTGTTTCAGTGGCGGGAAGGGTGGCACAGCCTGCAGCTGGTGCAGCATCACTGTCCTTGGAGCTGCCATCCCCAGAGGGAGCTGCACCAACCTCCAGGGCAGCCAAGCCCCCAGCCCCTTGGCTACAGGGGGAGCCTGGGGGTGGAGAGCCAGTCATGCTGTCCTCCGTCATAGGGCTGGGTGGTGCTGAGAGTGAGAACAGGGGCACAGCTGCAGAGGCCTCCCGTGACCGCAGTACCCGCATGTCCCGCAGCTCCCGCTGGACGGAGCCCAGATCACCCCTGCCTTTCGTCTCTCTGCCAGCTGGCGTGCCTTTGGCCAGCAGCCGGAGCGAAACCCTTTTCTCCCCATCCCGCCCTGCCCCCGTGGAGCTGCCCCCTGAAAGCACCAGAGTTGGCTTCGTGCTTACGAGCGCCTGCGTCCGCTGCGCCATGCCGCCGCCCCGCTCCTCTGCCCGCGAGCTTTTCACCAGCGTGCGGACAGTGGGCAGCTCGCAGCACTCCCCATTGAAGAAATACCCCCGCGTGCTCTTCCGTGCCGTCCTGCGGGACGACACGGCACGCTGGCTTTCAAAGTGGCACTCAGTGATGGGCTGGCTGATGTAGACCACGTCGCACTGGTTGTCATAGTCATTAATCCGCAGCCCTGAGGCTTTTTTGCTCTTGCGGGAGGGCCGAAGGGAGGCTGCCTTGGCACGGGGGTGCCCAGCAGGGGCACGGTGGGAGGTTGGTGTGGTGCCAGCAGGCAGCCAGCCCTCTTTGGATTTGTCAAGCGGGCCCTTGTCGGCTGGGTGCAGGTGGCAGCCTACCTTGCCCTTGGCCACAGCGTGCAGGTGGTTGTCTGGCTTTGGTCTTGTGTCTTGTTCTTTCACATCGAGGTCCTGGTGCAAAGATGCTTTCGAGCCACACTGTAATGCATTCTCTTTGTCCGCACAGCGAGGAGAGCTGACAGCAAAGCCAGGGTCCCAGGGCTCCTCTGGCAGAGCCCTGAAAGAGCTCTTCTGGGAGCCCAGACAACTGTCCAGGCCATCCTCACTGCCGTTCACGTTGGCCACTTTGACAGAGATGTAGCCTTCCACTAGTGCCTTACCTGCTCCCTGCTCTTTGCTGTCCTCACACCTTCTGACGCTGGCATCTTGTTCGTGGCCAGCAGCTTGCCCCTCCAGGCTTTTTGTGGTGTGGTGGAAATTCAATGAGGAAGAGTTCAACGTGCTGAGGTATCCTTGAGTGGAGCTGTCCTTTGGGCTGGCAGAGTGCAGCCGCGTGCTGGGGAGGTCAGGGAAGTCTCTCCTCAAAGCAGGGCTGGAGCTCTCTGCCCTGTCCATGGGTTTCAGCTCTGCAGGCTGCCCAGTGCTGTCAGTGCCTGGCTGTCCTGGCTCCAAGGAAGAAAGGGGCCTTGGGTCAGTACACGTAGCACCCTTATCCTGGTTTTCAGTGCTTTGCTGGCTACAACCAGAGCCACAAGTGGAGGCCTCCATGCTTTCGGATTCAGACGACTGCTGGCCTTCACAGTCCGGTTGTACTTCAGTGTATATGTCGTTTAGCACACGGATGAACTGCTTCTGGTGGTGCGTACACAGTCTGACCATAAACTTTTCCAGTGGAGACTTGGGCTGATTGTTAGAGTCTATTGCTACTGCCTCTGCTGCATCCTCACTAGAGAGACAAAGAGAAAAGCAGTCAGTAACACGTCTTGGGAACAAAAGTTTATGCTGCAAAACTGGAACACCCTTCTACTCCCACTTGGACCCATCACTCACTGGACGCCCAGGTGAGATCGAGCACCCTAGTGCCACGAGGCTGGCAGCCCCCAGCACAGGATATGAACTGCATTTTGTTTGTCACACACTGCTGGAGTACCATAACTGCACTTCTCAGAACTAGCTTTGTGATACACACAGGCCCAACACTTCTGAGACACACCAGTGTGAGTGCACACATCTACACATACACATTTTGGAGGGCTCCCAGCACACAGGACATGCCTGCGGCCACACACCCTTCCGTGCTGCTGTGCCCTGCCATTTGCTCTGTGCTTTGGTTTACAGCCATTTGGTAAATTCGCTCTGCCCACCTGCAGTGCTCACCCAGGAAGGTGGGCACCATTGTCTACAGGATCGCTGCCATGAGCTACCACTTAAACAAGGCGATTCTGCTCAGCAGAAGCAATTAATTAGAATGCATCGGTGGGGAGGCTAAGGGATAATTACTCAGTGTTTGCATGAACTTGTCAGGAGCGTGGTGCCAAAATCATGCCTGCTTCCAGCAGCAGCACACACAGATCCTGCCCCATCCCCATCACTCCCGCAGTAGGGGCTCAGTGCTGGCCCCATACCAGCACAGCTGCAGAGCTGTGGAACAACACAGCACCTTGCTGTCCCCCAGGAGGGCAGGCTGCTCCCTGCTCCCCTCCTGGCATGACTCACAACTCCTGCACAGGGAAGTGCCACAAGTCACTCCTGCCAACTGCTGGGGGGTACTTAGAAGAAGTTTTTGTGGAAGTGCTGGCTCTTAGACTCTGCTCCCAAACTCAGCAAGTGGAAGCGTCCCACGGGCTGCTCTGGACTGTGAGTTCAGCCACGTGGCCTCCTCTTTGCCCAGAAATGCTGCTCCAAGCATCTGCTGGCCAGGCCTGCGTGTCACAGTGTGCCTAAATTCCAAGCTCAGTTTCTTAGGCAATGTTTTTCCAACACCTCCTGAAACGAAATGGCTGAGCAAGTTACACTTGGCAAATGCACCCCAGCGCCCCAGAACACGCTGCGTGGCCACCACCAAGCCCGCTGCCTTCAGCCGAACACCCTCCAGCAGCCCCAGCCGGTTCCACCCAGGGTGAACAGAAAATGAAAGCACTCAGGTACAGCCTGGCCATTCTCCAGAGCCCTGCATGGAAAGATTGTCCCAGAGAGGATTCCTACATGGCTCAGCTCCTCCCCTCACCCTGCGGGTAACAACGGGGCAACACCTTTCTCCTACCACCAGGAAGGAGAGGAGGGCCCTGCACAGCCCCTTCCACTGGGGCGGAGGTCTCCCCTTACCTGCCCAGAAGCCCAGCTCTGCGCAGTGGCAGCCATCTTCCTGCATTTATCAATGCAGCCTGTCCGCAACCCCCCCCCCCCCCCCCCCCGCCACCTCACTGGGATGCCACGGGACAGGGAAGTGAAGGCCAAGCAGCAAGCTTTGTCCTTAACCTCACTGCTGGGGCAGTGCTGGTCTCATGGCTTTGCCCAGGCATATGGGCCCCAGGGAGCTGGGGATGTGCCATGTCCTGCCCAGCACCATTGGCACCCAGGGTTTCAGGTGCATCTCCCCGTGCTCTCACCTCTTTTCCTCTGACATCTGGCTGACACCATGGCTCTCACTGCTGCTCTACACCCTACCGTGCTCCAAAGAGTTAATCCTATATATACACAGCTTGCTAAGCTGTAAATTTAAAAAACAGATATAGATCATTTCCCTGGTTGAAAAATGAGATAACTCCACTGAGACTCAATGTCCTTTGTCCTCAGAAAACCCATCTTGCCCTCAATGTCACTATTCACCTGTGCCTACGGTCACATAACTGCAGGGTTCTCTGCTTTCACATCACTGAGACCCAAAGACGGACCACAATTCCTCATTCTGAACATATCTGCCCCCTCCTCAGCCTACCCCCAGGTGGGCACCTCCTTATTCTGAGAATCAGAGGGCCAAGCACAGCCCTGCAGTGCCTGCCAGGGGTTTGCATCAGACACCAATGGTCCCCTCTGTCCTGCTGACGGAGGTGCAGCGGGATGGAAGAACAGCAGAGGATGGGAATTGGGGATGTGGCTTTGGGAGGCAGAACAGGTAGGGCTCAGGAGACACACAGGAAGCCCTCTGCAGCCTCCCCCCCAGCACAGCTCTCCCTGAGCTGGGCTGTCTTTGAGGAACATGCCATTCTGCCCAACACCTGCAGAAGCCTCCAGCCCAGCCCCGTGATCAGCTTGCTGGCAGTTCCTGGGGTACCCACCCTTTGTGCCTCCAGCCCAGTCACTCACCCATCCAGAGACCCCAGCCTGGCTGCCACCTCCCCCTGCCAGCAGAAAGCACCCTGCTGTCCCACCAGCACCCTGCCACCCGAGCCCCCGCTGCCCTCCCAGCTCTCCTCTCTCTCTATTCCTTTCTGCCTGTCACAGAAGGTGTCAGAGGAATCAAGGGGCAGTAGCTGTCAGCGAGACACACAGAGCTGTTGCCACGCAACCACCGTGGTGTAGCAATTAACGCTGGGGAAAACGTGCTGTGCTCTGAAGCTATTTGCATAGCTGCGTGCTGCAATACATTTGTTTGCTTTGTGGCACCGGCGGTTTGCGGGGCTGGGAGCCAGCCCTCCCTGACTGCTGCTGGGGGGACCCAGGGCTGCCAGCAAAGATCATATGGCCATGGTGGTGGGGCCGGGGGCTCGCATGCTGGGGACACCCCCAGCACCGGTATGGGATTTACACGGGGGAAATGCCATGTGCTCCCTGGATTTCATCCTGCACTGCCCATGGTGCGCTGCCCACCCCATGGAGCCAGCTCGTGGTGTGCTCCCTCTCCCCTTTAAAGCTCTGCGGCCACCCAGCCTGTGACTCAGGAGCGTATGTTTGAGGGTAGAAGGGGAAGAAAGAGAGGGAGAAAGGAACGAGCTGTTTCACGCCAACCTATCTGCAACGCTGGCCCCCAAAAACCTGCCAATTGCCAACGGCAACCTTCTGGTTTGCCCACCCCAAGTGCCTCACTACTGAACACAAACCCTTTTTGGGTTTCTTTTTTTAGCCCGTGAACAGCAGCTGGATGGATTCTAAGTTTACAGGTATGTTTTGTACCTCAGAGGCACAAGAAGCAGCGGCAGAACAAAAGTTCAAGGCTAAGTGCTTCTGTTCCTTTCAGATCACTCTAAGCACCAGGATTATAGTTCTGTAAAAGAAACAAAACATAGCTATAAACTTATAAAATCCAGTTCTGTGTTTTTAAGGGATGACCTCTCCCCTCCCTCTTCTGCAGCGCCAGCCTCGCACCACCCCAAACCAGCATGGACTGGAAACACGGCACCTGATAATGACTGAGGAGAAGCCGAACCCTCAGCAGCGCTCCATGCCAGCACAATGAGCCACTGCCACCGCTCTGCCTCACGTTGGTCCCCTGCAGAGCCCTGCAGGCAGGGATGCAGGCATGGGCAGGGATGCTGCAGGCATTCCTCAGCTCGTCTTCCCAAGCCCCAATTAAAGCCTGACACCGGGTGTACCGGTTTAAATGACGCTATTTCAATCCTCAGAAATCTGCCTGGCACCTCACACTCCCCACACAGACGAATGAGTCCCTTCACACCTCTGTGGGTGCTACAGGCATTTTCTCTTGCTGCACTGACAAAACGGGAAAGCAGCACGGAAAGGGCTGAGGCTCCACACAACAGCCAAGAGAAAAGCAGTTTTCTTCTCTAGACTAAAAGCTGCAAAGCACAGCCCAAACGATGATGGAAATAGAGCTGCTGAGCTTTCAAGGCGCCTGAATTTACGCCATCCTTGGTGATGCAGTGATTTTACAGCTCGCACCCAGCTGAAAAGTAGGAAGCAAAAGTTATGGATGGGGTTGGCCTGGTTGGATTTTGTCAGCTGCTTGCAGGTCGTACTGGATACCAACTAATGGATAAACAACATCCATCCATTACAGAGTCAGCCGTTTAACCCTTCAGAGTAGTGTCTCCATGTTTTTAAAGCATTTACACACTTGCAACAACCTTCTCCCCCACCTGTTGCCAAATAGAAACCAAACACACCAAAACTGGTTTTACGTTATACAAAACACACGGCCTCAGGTAGGAAGGTTGGTCATGGTGCATTCCTGCCATTGCTTCCTCTCCCCACATAAATGATCTGACCATATTCTACAGCAGCTCAGCCCCTCTGACAGTACTCCCAGTGCAATATTTAATGACTAATTAAAAACCTTACCATTGAGCTATTGCTTTAAAACCAAGGGAAATTCATCACGTTGGATGAATTCTACACACCAGGCTTCAAAGACTTCCCAGAATTGTCCTTGTTAATTTTTCTAATTACTGGGGACATCTGGGGGACAAAAAAAATGACAGTGTGTTTCTTTCTATGGTGGTACTTGCAGAATATATATATATACATATAATATATATATATACATATACATATACAACATATATATATAATGCTTTTTGCCCCAGTGGGTGTGATAAAAGGAATGCAGCAGCTGGGTAGAGCCATCACCATAGCTCAAAGCACTCAGCACAGCCAGAGCTTGGGATGCATCCATAGAGCAGAGGGTATCCTGGGTGCAATTAACAGATGTTGGGGGACACGGCCCCATTTCGGGTAGCCTGGAGAATCAGGTAATTGGGCCTGGGACAATCAAGGCCACGCTGTTAATAAAAACAGTATCGTAGCTCCTAATAGTGAGTCTCCCCGTGGTGATACTACACTGCTTCATGCAAAAACGCCTGGTGACTCAAGAACCAGCACTTTGCTACAGGCCTGTATGATCTGCAAACTGTGTCCTGAGCAGCCAGCCCCACACCTGGCGCACCGCTGAGGCTCGCTGCTTGGGAAATGGGTTAAGGCAGAAAACACAGATCTCAGCCCCAGGAGCCCAGGGGACGGGCTGGCGCAGAGCTGATGGGCTTGGCACGT